GATCCCTGATTTAGAGTGTTGGGCTGGAAGGGTGGTGGGAAGTCATCTACTCATCTCCTGTATCCCAGGCTGTTGCACACCGTGGCCCTTAGATCCCAGGGTTTTCCCAGATGGTTGGGCCTCTGCCCCACCTCCTCCCTTCAAGCAGAGTATCCCAATCTAATATCCATTTATATTATGGGATTTTGCATAAAATTCGCTTGAGCAAAGCATTTCTCAACTAGTTTTAAAAGATTTGAAGACCCTCAATTCTCATCCAATTATAGATGAAGGGTTGAGGCCCACAGAAGCTGATTTTTCCTTAAATAATGCATTTAGTTATTGTCAGAGCTGGAACTTCTACTCAGCACCAGAGACTACCAGACTTTCAGTTCTAACTACACAGTGTGGGCTCCATACCATCAAAATTCCCACCAGAGGAAAGACTTGTATCTGATTTTTGTTTGTTTGTTTTAAATAAAGCCACTTATCAGCATGAGTAATTTGTGAACAAAAATCGCAGTATCAAGAGACTGTTTGACATTTATCTGGAGTTGAGAGCCTCAACAATTCTACGTACAGTGTCTTAATACAGATTTTTAATGCATGCTCTATGACCTTATCCTGAGAACGTTCATATGATCACATCCATACCTCAGATGGTGGTTTTTTTTTTTTTTTTTTAAATGTCTGTAACGTAATTTTCTGGAAGCTGATGATAGCCAGTGTTTATTTTATATCATTCTCTTGCTTCATATAAATCCATCCAGCCATTATGTTTCCCTAAAGTCGCTGCCTCAAATACAAAATTGAATTTTAAATTAAATTTAAAAATCTATGATGCTTTTGGCCTTGATGGAAGTAGTACTGGATTCTCCCTGTAGCACAGCAGGGAAAATCTAAGAGTCAGAGAACAGAGATTTGTCTGGTTCTGCATGACCAGATCTGCTACTCAGGTCTGGGGTCCCAGGTCATGGAGGTCTGATCAGGTGTCAGGTAATACAATTACCCAGCCTGTGTGCTGACTCTCGCAAGACTTCAGCCCAGCCACCACCCTGGAGACCATTATGGAAATTTTGTGAAACTTTCTAAAGAAGGCAAAAGCCCAAATCAAGTTTCAATTTATATCTCTTCCCCTGAATATAGCACACTGAAACCTCAAACAAAGGTCACTTCAGAAAGGAAACAAATGTCTTACACAGTTAAAGCAAACATTCTTCCTAAACTTTGGCTTATTCCTATACATGCTGTTTATTTTGAAGAGAAGAGGGGAGATAAATAACACAATAGAAAATTCTATTTCAGATAACCAATTATAAATATCCCCTCTCCCGTAAAAATTACATTGTTTTTTATGTGTAAATATAGAATATTTTCTACTGCTTTATTCTCTGGCACAAAATATGATGTTTTACATTATCTAATTAATGCATTTGTTGTTTTTGGTGTGAAGTATCACTTTGCATTATTCACTGAGAAGACTACATATTGAAGCTCTCTTGATGAAATTCCATTGTGTACGTGTGTATGTTGGCAGTGTGTATGTAAGTAGTGTGTATGTATTTCTCAATAAAGTAGCATTCAGTGGAACAGAGTTTTATTTTGCTGCATGATTTTTATAATTTATTTGTTTTAAGAAAATAGCATCGCTTATATGAGAATTAATAACAGGGCTTGTGGAATACATTGTAAATGTTTTCCTGATGGCTTTTTTATATGGCTTATTGTTATTTTCAAATTGTCTTTTAGTTATAGAAGAATTATGGCAGCTTTATAGAAAGTACTGAAAGTAAGGGTGAAAATATCACCTAGATGTGTAGATGACTAATAGAAAGGTTTGGATAATTTCAGTTTTCACTTGGATTTAAATCTTGTAGCCAGACTTCTCTGTTTCAGAATTCTAGAGAACTTGATGAACTAGGAACATCGCTAGCCCCCAACCTGCCTAGATGACCAAAGCACCTCAAGGCTCTCTGGGTGGATAAATGAGAATTTAGAGAGCTGAGAAGAGCAGAAGGCAATCTAACTCGGGGGCAAAAGAAAGCAAATGGATCAATCTGCAGACAGGACACAGCACATCATGTTTGGCAAACTGACAAAGGCATCTTGAAATATAGGGTCCCTGGAGTGGAGTAGAGTGAGGAAGGAGTTGAGGTGAAAGGGAGTTTTGAATCAGGTTATAAAGAGGTTTAAATTTCATATTCTGGAGGTGAGGCTTTACTTGTTGGGCAAGGAGTGGAGTGAAACCCCATCAGAAGCATCTGCCAGCATCCCAGCTCAAACTCCTCCAGCCCATAGACAAAGAAACAGATGAGTGGTTGCAGTCAGCCAAGGAGAAGGCTCAGCCCAGTCATGGGGTGGGGGTGGGGTCACAAAAGGAGATGTCCACTTTTCTCTCCTTCTTCTTCACCTCACCTCCTTTCACCAAGAAACTGCAGGTGCCACCCACCTCTGTCTCCAGGGTCTGGGGTCATTATTTTAGCTTGTATTCAGGAGGGTAGGAAAAGAAGCCAACTTGAAATTTAATATAAAATAGATGCTTTGACAGCAACATGAATGAGCCTGAAGGACCAACCTGAGATGGTTTTAATAGCCGAAAGTGACCGACAAGTTACACAATCAGACTGAGTTGCCATTAAGAACACGTCCACCCAGGGAGCCACAGGAATTCTACAAGGGACAATTGGTGACAATACTTAAAGATAAAACCAGTTCTCATTGAGCCTCCAACAAATTAAGACCTACTCCTAAATAGGTTATAGTGCACAGTGATAGAAAATTCAAGTAATGCACACGGAGAAAGGATTTATAGAAATGCGTAAGTGTTGGGATTTATGTATTATCAAGAGATTACTGTTTCTAGGGACTGATGAAAGATTTTTTTTTAAAATCAAGCTAATATGGTTCTTTATTATTATGCAGAAGATCCTTCTGTATTTTGCTCAATTTTATGGCACAATAATATAATTTGTTGTCTTAAGAACTTAATAATTTAAAAAAACCTCTTTCCCCATTTAATTGAAATGGGCATTTTTAGTCTTACTAGTTTTTCCTGTTATAACTGTTAAGGACTCTCCCACAGGGTCCCCTCTCCCCTCAACCTGATGAACATTTCAAGTACATTTCTCTGTGGAAAAACTCCTTTAATGGTTGCAATCTATCAAGATGTTCTTTTGAGATTATTATAAAGAAGCATTGTTGGTTAATCAAAAAAGGAAGGAAAATAAGAAAGAACAAAGAAGACACTGTAAAGGGAGCCTGTGCTTGCTGGGCTCTGGATGAGATAGTTAGATTTAAACCCATACTCAGAAACTACATTGCGGACAAACCCCACCCTCATTTCACTCAGCATTCCTGGAAGGCAGGAGGGCAATTCCTAAGGGCTTCTCTATGGGTAGTCTGCATATTGTTAACTTTTATTTTAAGGGAGGGAATTGATTGGGGAGGTAGAAGAGATAGGAGAAAGATGACTCAATAAATGGTTTTGAATTTTGGCATAAGAGGAAATGGATAGAGGATTATTTATTCAACACACACAAACATACCTGGAGAGAACTCATTTCTTTTTTCACTTCCATATAGAAAAGAAACTTTTAGCATGACCCCTAATGAAAAAATACTATCATCAGTCATCATAAATAGAAGATTAACATTAATACATATTAAAAGCTATGTAGTTATTAGAATTAAAATAGTTCAGGCTCTGCCTGAAATAATCTCTACTACCACCAATGTGGTGCTATTGTGTTGAGAGAACTTTTACTAGCTGTCATAATGCAGCTTTTTAAAAAAAGATACTAACCTCGATTCTATTGTCATCTAATTTTGAACAAAGGCATTAAGTCCAAAGTTAGATTCATCAATCATAACACAGGAAATGTTACTGACATCCATTAAGAACTCCACAGTTGATTAGCTCACTTGATTAAATAGTGGTGCAACTGATGGGAAAACAGGAGAGGAGCCTGCCACTCTAGCAAAGAGAATTCCCAGCTCTGTGTCTCCAGGGAGTTAAGATGAATGTAAAATAGAAGACAAAAGCTGGCTGCTTCAACAGTAACTCAGTGCTCTCCACAACAGCAATCCCAATCCCATGCGTGGTCTCCAGAGGTACATCCCAGTTCCCTTTTCAATACCCAAAGGTAGGGATTTGGTGCGTTTTTTTTTTTTTTTTTGGGTGGTGTTGGGTAGGTGGGGGATAACCTTAGCTGTCACTAGAAAAGTAAAATCCCCAAATTAAAAAAAAAAATCACAGTGTCTGATGTGAATGATACCTGAATGCTGACATTCACCAAATGTCACCTTTTTGGGCAGCTGCATAGAAATAATGTTAAAATGTTCTGCTATTTTTTTTAAACAGCTATTTTCCTGAGAGATTGGAAAATCGGAGGAGGCAAGCTGATGACATTTTGATTGCAGGCCTCACTGGGAAAGGCACTGTGGAACTTTCTGCTTAACAAAGTTAAAACAAAGACAAAAGCAAATGACAAATCCACCACCTCAATCTGCATTGTATTTTTTTGTTTTTAAAGAAAATGGTAAAACTTTTGCTCCTGCTTTTATTGACTGAGATTTTCAAGAGTGGATTGAAGAAATTATTAGCAGTCTCATTGGCAGCTAAGAAACCTGCTTTGAGATAGGTGGTTGCTTATTATTAATACTGCTTTCCACTTCAGCCTCATCTGTAAGGCACTGAACTAGCAGCCACTAGGTCTTCAACCTACCTTCAGACTTCTGCTTCATGAAGTCTTCCGACATCCACTGTGAGATGGATCACTTCTTCTCCATTTCTAGCACTTTTTGGGTGTCTCTCCTATGTCATATCTACCTCAGCCTTGCTCTAAAATTATTTACATCATAGTTTACCAAATTCATTGAGGGTGGCACTGGCATTTCATAGTAATTGAACATTTAGCCAATGAAATGAATGAATGCATGGAAGGGGAGTTAGATGAAGGAATGGGTACATGATTACAGGAATGGATGGATGGGTCAAGAGGGAAATAGAAAAATAATTACTACTCTTCTTTTCTTGGAGTTGCACTGGTGTCCAATGAGTATGTAATGCAGGCAGTACTGCTAACATCTACATAACACACGCGCATAACTAGAACTTGGCTTTACCTTCATGCAATTTTGAAAAAAAAATTATTTTCCGAAAATAGTTTTTTAAAAAAAATTTCTTTTCCAAAAATAACTTTTAAAATTTAAAAATTTTTAGAAAAGAGAAAAAGGATTGTGACTTTTACAATACTTGACATTAGATGATAGAGATTTTGTCATCTTTCTACATACCTTGAGAATGGTTTAATGAGTGATGATGTTTAAAATATTTTTTGCTCTGTTTTTTGTCATTTTTTTTTAGTCTACCTTCTGTTTTCCTTCATAATTCAGAGATAATATTTGCCATAGCATCACATGTAGAGTGATTAGAAGAGAACTACAGGGAGAGTTTTATTTTAAACTTATGACTTCTTTTTCATCACATCTTGAGATGGTCACATAAAAACTTTATGGGACAGTATTGATATATTGTAACAATATAATAGCCAAAAGCTTTTTCTTTTTTTTCTTCTTTTTTTCTTTCTTTGTGTTCCTGGCTGTTCCTAATATTTATGCTAGAGGCTTAAAAAATTTTTTCCCCTTTTTTTTCTGTATCTTTTTTAATAGAAAAAATGAGAGGGTAGTTACAATTTACCCCTAAAGCTATGGAAATAAAAATGATCTATCTTCCAAGCCACCTCTACAAATGTTCTTTGAAATAAGTGTACTATCTTAAAACAAGATACTAAACTTATGTCAGTTTCCTATTCATACATAGATGTAATATCAATTGTGTCTCCTATTAGTGCCTTTCTAAGTGTTTTGTTAGTATAAAAACCATGTTTAAAATGTATCATCATCCAATATAGTGTCTTTAAGAAAAACAAACAATGATTGATTTAGATAGATATGAATATTAATATCTTTTCTTTGAATTTCTGGCTTGCATTTTTATTAAAAGTATGATATATATATGTATAATAATAAAACAGGGTATGAGTGCTTATATATTTTAGAGGCTAGAATTGATGAAGCATTGGGAGGTGAAGGATTGGTGAAGAATTGGGAGGTGAAGCAGTATAAAAATGAGTATGAAGCCTTAAAATATTTAGCATTACTGTAATAACTGTAATGAATTTGTGACCCAAGTGATTTATGGTCAGAGTGGTGTTAAATGTTGGTTATAACAATGCTAGGCTATGCTGCAAGAACAAATAAACCCTGATATTATCTTGGCATAAGTCATCAAAGGTAGATTTCCCACTCTGGTAGCCTCTTCCGTCTTGATTATGACATCTAGAATTTCTAGATCATTTCTAGATCACCAGGGTGGGAAGAAAGAGTGTGGAGAAGGCTCACCAACTCTTATTTGCATCAGTCTAAAAGGGACAAGTGCCGTGTCCATTTACAGTTCATTGATGAGTACTAGTCATAGGGTCTGAATTCAGAGTTCAAAGGAAGCTAGTGTTTTCATCATATAATCACAGAGGCATAATCCAAGCTGATTCTGATTTCAACCTGGACGTTGTATAGAACTTGGAAGCACATGCTGGTCCTGTCATTTCCTAGCTTATCAGTTCAGTAACATTCTGGGGCTACTAACTCATACCTAGAAATAACTCTCTTCCTCATTCTAGATATCATACTCCTACCCCCCACCACCCACATACAGCAGAGGTTAGGGGTAGGAGTGGTATAGTTCATTAACTCTCAGTTTTTTACTACGTAGGAATCAGTAGGTACGTGGGGGATTATTTTGTTTTGTGGGTTTTTTTTTTTGTCCCTTTTAATCTTTCTTCCAATCCATCAGAGATTGGAAAGAAGACTTGTGGGAGTTGAAGCATCTTTGTTTCAGGGTATAGAAAGGAAAGAGACTCAACCAGTATTTTTTTAGCTAGCAGGGTAAAGATAGTAACTCCAATATGTAAACAATTATTCCACATCACTATCTTCAACAAATGTATGCTTCATTCATCCATCCTCCACCCATCCATCCATCTACTCATCCTCCATCCATCCATCCATCCATCCATCCATCCATCCATCCATATTTTAGTGGCCCCAGGTCAAGTACAGGGCCCTTGAAAACCAAAGAAAAATCTCTTAGACCTGGTTAGCCTTTTCTTATTACCCTTCTCCTTCAACAGACAAATTGTTTTGTCTACCATGGTTTTGTTAACATTTTCATGTGCGTCAACTCTGCTAAATTACAGCCTCCTTAAGGCTTTGAAGGGTTTGAGTTTCATTCATTTCTGTATTCCTAGCATCAAGTCAAAACCTGACTCAGCAAGGTACCATAGATATATTTGAGGTGCATGAGTGAATGCTTCTCTCCACTGGGCCCTGCAAGGCCAATTTAGCTGGGAGCTATTTGTAGCTCTAACAGCCTCTTCACAGCTTTGTCCCAGGAAGTTCTTTCCATCCTGAGCAACCTGGATTTAGGAATTGAGTGATTCTGATGGTGGTCTGTAGTTGACTACACCAAGAGTTAGGACCGAAGTTGTTGTATGAGTTTGTTTTGAAACAAAATCCTATTTGATTCAAAATTTTCTATAACCTTGTATAGGAGTTATTATCTTAGAAAAAAAATGCACCTCCTTTGTGTGCCTCTCTTCCTTCAGGCTACTTCCAAGTTGTCTCTTGGCCATTGTCCCTCTCATCCATGCTGAGATCCTACTTATTTGTAGCTGTTGCTCTCATGTTTATGTCTCTACTTTCTATTTTCCCCAAAATATTAGACCCTTATTTTTAAATTCTATCTAGACACATTGACAGGGTATTCCACCCACACCTCATGTTCAGTGTGTTCCAAACAGAACCAGACTTATCGGTCTTAGTTAAGGATATGGTTTGGCTGTGTTCCCACCCAAATCTCATCTTGAATTATAGTTCCCATAATCCCCACATGTCATGGGAGGGGCCCTGTGGGAGGTAACTGAATCACAGGGGCAGTTACCCTCATGCTGTTCTCATTGATAGTGAGTTCTCATGAGATCTGATGGTTTTCTAAGGGGCTTTCCCCACCATCCGCTCTCATTCTTCTCTCTCCTGCCACCCTGTGAAGAAGACGTGTTTGCTTCCCCTTCCACCATGATTGTACGTTTCCTGAGACCTCCCCAGTCATGCAGAACTGTGACTCAATTAAACCTCTTTCCTTAATGGACTCACAGTCAATTAAGTGTCAGTCTCAGGTATGTCCAGTCACAGGTATGTCCTTATAGCAGCATGAGAACGGCTGAATGCAGTTAAAGATACCACATTCTCTCTTCACTCATACTCAACACCCCACAGTCATGTTCAGCTGTGCTCGTTTGCCATCCTCCCACTCCTGGGGCTGGACCATTATCAATACTGTCTCTTCTCCAGGATGACTCACCCACTGTTTACTTTCACTGTTCATACCTTCCTACCCTCTTCCTGCTATGTTTTGACTATATAACTAACTTCTCTTTTTTAAATTTACTTTTAACTCTTCTTGTTTTTCCTAGAGAGTCCAGCTAATGACATTTCTAAAATCACTTCTATGATGTAGTATTGTGAATGGTTCTATTTGCACTCCAAATAACTTCCAAATACTAGTGTAGCATCCAAGCTTTTGGCCATCTGTCTCCAGCCTTACCTCCGCTGCTATAGACTTTAGCCAGACCACACTGCTCTTTCTTTGGTACCTCAGACATGGCTCATGTCATTTCTTCCATATGCAGAGAAAGTTACTCAAATCCCTATGTGAAGACATTCTAGCCACTCTTCTAGTGCCAGTTCAACTGACTTTCCTAATCTCTGCATTGGGAATCAGTCTCACCTTGCCACTCCAATTCAGGAGTGGCAAGTAGACTTCATCTCAGGAACAAAATCTGGTTGGTTAATAAAAGCTGCCTGGAGAATTGTCTTGAGGATTCTGAGACTGTATCTAGGCTTAACAGGAAAGATTGTCACGTTCATTAGCAATGTCTGTCTAGAGCATGAAAGAGGAATTGAGACATTAATGTTGTTTAGATGCTCTCTGTGATCTCCCCTTGTCTTCTCTTAGGCATATAATGTCACTTACACTCATTGCTAAGTTCTTTAAAGGCATAAATTGTATCCTGCTGAATTATATACCTGATTCTTGAGCTTACCAGCACAATGTTCTATGATCATTAGGCACTCCAAAATGTTTGTTAAATAAATGTCCTAATGCTTGATATGCTGTTTACTTACAAAAGATTGAAGAGCTGTGAGCCCAGCTGTGATTGCATTGATCAGGCAGCTTTATTACATTACAGTGTCTACTCCTTCAAGTATCAGTTTGCTAAGGAATCTGGCTGTGCTGACTTGAGAACTCCTTCTGCACTGTTACCTCTGGTGATTAATGAGGCCAGGCACCACTGGATGAATGGACGACATCCAATACTCCACTATTACCTGTAATAGAATTAACTTTCAAGCAACGTTGATAAATTCTAGTTTTAGGCTTACTTTCATGGGCCAGCAAAGAAAGTTGTCAGATATTAAGTCCCTTAGCCAAAGTAAAAAGCCAAGAGCTGGTTTGAAACACATCTTAAAGGAAGGCAGTATTGATTTTGTGATCCTTAAAACGCTTCAACCTTAAGATAATTTAAAAATTGTGCAAATAACTATAGAAATATAACTTCCATTTTTTAAAAATCTCTGAGATATATACCTCAAGCATTTCAGTTTGTCTTATGACATAGTTTTCAGAAGCTACGTCATTCTGTTCCCTCGTTTCTGAGTATCTTCTATCCGGTGATGTACCCAGAATTGGTATACATTTTAGATGAAGCCTGACCAGTCAAGATCAAGATCAAGATCAATAATAATATCTCTGTGGTCCTGTAATCTATATTTCTGTCATTACAACCTAAGAACAATCTCTCAGTGTCTACATCATATGTATCATGAAATTGATGGACACTTAAAATTCCTCATCAGTAAAAAACATCTTATTTCATCTTGAATTGGCTAGGCCTTTTTCTCTTTGCCAGAAAAACTAGTGCTATCTGGCTTGGTCTTTAAAAGGAAATTATTGGGTCCTGTCCCCAAAATGTCAAGGCAGAGGTGAATGTCTGGTCCACAGTACAATGTCATTGAGATTCCATTT